GATTCCTTAATAATCCCAATGTCTACATCAAGATCTATCAAATAAGGAATAACTAGGTAGGATCATCTCAGAGGTAGGGTCCCTTTGGTATACAGAGTATACTGTTTGGAAACCCCACTTTAAACACCTCACTAAATCCAGCCTAGACATCACTCCCGTAAGTAGATCAATCAGTATGATGACTTGGAATCACTGATAAATCTTCATTATAGGTCCATAATAACGACTATGACTATAATTATAAGTTACACTTAAAGCAGAGTGGGTGTAGTTCAACTTACAGAGATTCTGATAAAAACCTAGTATGTGGGCATAACTTAGATCCAGAAGCTTCTATTCACCGGTTATCTGACACCGCAAGGCTTCGCCAAAGGGGTCAAGAACTCGGGAGTAAGGGTCTAAAAGGCTAGAAAAGTTCCAGAGAGAATGTGTGGAAGGTGTGAAGGGAAATGAAGGGAAAACGAACTATATATAGGCCTGGAAGGGGGGCGATGCGTACCATGTCTGGGTAGGTCACGCCCTTGGTTGGACGTGATGACATGGCAGGCAATGGGTGGTAACACATGTATGCATCTCGTGGGATTTCAGAGGCGCGTCGCGCCCTCTATTTAGGCGCACGGCTGCGTGTGGAAATTTCTGCTTTCTTAAAAAATTAATATCTTTTCCGTACGAGCTCCATTTTCGATGGGTTTTATATCCAGGCGTATCTATCAACGATATCTACAACTTTCCTTTAAACTCCGTAGGCTAATTCTCACTTTATTTTTATTTTTTATTTTTAGTAGGCCTAGCCTGCTAAAGTCCATATAAATTTCATAACTTTTTCATACGATATCCGTTCTCGACTGTCTTTATATCCACGGATAGGTATTGACGAGATCTTTGACTCTTGTTTAGATTTTTTTTCCCAACAATCGACCGATTTCCATTTCGGTTTCTGTGTTGTACACTGCTATATGGAATTACGTCTAAAGCTTCGAAAAATCATAACTTATTAGTATGAAGTCAAATTTGGGTGTTCTTTATATGCACAATTTCTCTTTTTCGATTACTACGACTTTTATTTAGATTATTTATCCTAAGAAATCTTTTATTTTTAATTTATATTTTAGCCCTATTTATTACGTTTCGACATATGATTTTACCCAGATCTCATAATTATCAAATATCTAAAAAATTCGCATAAACACACATATATTTGAATAATTTACTTTTATTTATTCTCATAAATTTATGATTGTTAACCGACAAGTTTATAGATTTGATAACTAAGCCTAGCAGGACGCGGATGTTATAGTCGGAGACCGATTTGTTGGGGAGAGGTTGGTCAGCAAGTTATGGGAAGCACTGAGGTAGTGTTCAAGACCATTGAGTTGATTCAGTAGGTGCGTGGTAAGCTGTAGATTGCGTAGAGCCATCAAAAGAGTTACACCGATCGACACTGTTTCAATCTCGAGTTCCAGGTTGAGGATTATGTGCTTCTGAAGGTGTCACCTTGGAAAGGTGCCATCCAGTTCTGGAAGCGAGGCAAGTTGGGCCCCAGATTCATCGATCCATTTATAGTTGTTGTCCGAGTGGTCAAGGTCGCTTATCGGTTGGATCTTCCTGTGGAGCTTAGTTAGTTCCACAATACCTTTCACGTACCTCAGTTGCATATACGTTTGGTTGATGATTCCGTAGTGGTTCTGTTGGATGATATCCAGATTGATGAGCACCTTAGTTATGTGGAGCGACCGGTCATTATTCTTGACAGGAAGACGAAGAGCTTGCACCATAAGGTGGTGGGTCTGGTCAAGGTGTAATAGAAGCATCGTAAAGGTTCCAAATGGATTTAGGAACCCGAGAAGGAGATGTGAGACCATTACCCCGAGTTGTTTGCAGCAGCGGATTTCGAGTACGAAATCTAATTCAAGTAGAGGAAAGTTGTACATCCGGATTTTTCAAGTACTGTTCTTTGAATCTTTTGTGCTTAAGTTGGTTTTGTGATGTTATGCCCTACGTTTAGTGTAGGATATTCCTCTACGCTATGTGTAGGTGAGGGATTATAGACGAGGGTTCAATGAGCTACGCTGAGCATAGGATTAGGTTACATTAAGTGTAGCCGCACAAGACCAAAAACTTAAACCTATGGTTATAAGCCTTATTTAAAGGCTCTAACTCCTTGGGATCCACCCTATGATCAACCTCCACCCTCCCAAAATGCTCCCTTGAAACCTTATCCACCTTTTGTGATTTTTGAGATCTTGGAGTGACTTGTGTGCTCTTTTTATGGAAGAAGGTGCTTTATAGAACCACTTGGAAGCCTCAAGTTGTGTAGATCTGGAATTTGCAAGCCAACATACATCTCTACAAGGTATAAAGTTTCTATCTTGAAGTTTTTTCATGTTAGATCTAGTTTGGTTATGAGATTCTATGTATTTTGTCCCCATAATCTTCGTCTATGTGAGTATGGGTTACTCTAGACCATTTGAACATCTCTACAAGGTATACAGTTTCTATCATGAAGTTTTTTCATGTTAGATCTAGTTTGGTTATGAGATTCTATGTATTTTGTCCCCATAATCTTCGTCTATGTGAGTATGGGTTACTCTAGACCATTTGAATGTAACTTTCTGATGTTTTTGAGGTCATAGAGTCATAAAAATGTGAGCTTGGACACTCTCATCCATTCATGCATGAGTTCTTGAGCATAAGTTGGCTTTATGGACTTAGTGTTTTGGTAGTGTGCTCTTTCTAGCCATGTAAATGGATAAAGTTAGATACTTTATCCATTAAGATGTCCATTTGGTTCAGATCTGAAAGTTTAAGGAGCTAACTTTCTGTATTAAGAGTTTAATAGAATTATTGGACATCAGGGGGATACCCTGAGCAAAGATTTCTCTATGTCAAGCGTAGCGTGGGAATTACCCGTTTTCTCACTTGGAGGTCTACACCGAGCGTAGAGCGGTTGCTACGTCGAGCGTGGTTCAACTGAGGGTTAACCGTTGACTTTTTAACCAGTTTGACTTTTGGTCAACTGTGTTGGGACTTAGTCTTGGAAGGGCAGAATGGTCTTTTTCCCCAAAGAAAGATTAATTGTTAACCAAGACTCTTTGAGATATAGTTATTACCTAAATTGTTAATTAGGATTTTTATTATGTGTATGATCAGCGTGAGGAGACTCGATATCACCAGTTTTCCGATCATGTGAGCCGAGGTGCAAACTACTATGATTTAAGAGGTGAGACTAGGGATGAGCATATGGACCGGGGAACCGGCCGGAACCGACACCGGAACAGGAACCCGATGGAACCGGTCGGGCCAGGACCGGGACGTTATATTTGTGGATTTTTGGAACCAGGAACCGGTAGGAACCGGAACCGATATAACCGGAACCGGTAGAACCGGCAAAAACCGGAACCGTATGATGCTATTTTTTGAGGACCGGTTCCAACATTTGAAGACACGACAAGAACCGGTAGGAACCGGGAACCGGTAGAACCGTCGGGCCGGTTCGGTTCTTGATTTTGGCCGAAGCCGGTTCCCGGGTCGGGTCCGGTTCCGGCCGGTTCGGTCCTTTTGCTCATCCCTAGGTGAGACTTCTCATTATATTGTGTAGAATGTTAGATTGTCTTTTTAAATCTTGCATGTATGTTGGGCGGGGCCCGTTATGCATGTTAGGTGGGGCCCGTTATATATGTTGGGCGGGGCCCATTATGTATGTTGGGCGGGGTCCGTATTGATATGTGGTATTTTGGGGAATTCACTAAGCTTCATGTTTATTATTTAAAGTTTATTGTTTCAGGTACTTCTAGTAGCAAAGAGAAAGAGTCGGCTTGATTGCATTGTATCCATCGATGGTTTCCGTATCTTATGATTTTGGGATTACACTGATGCTCTTTTTATAAAAACTACAACTTCATGTTTTGGATATTTGATTATGTAATTGTCATGGAATGGTTTTAATTACTTAAAAATAAGCAACCAAGTGATCAACACTAAGTCAACCTGATTGCCTTTTCTATAACAATAAGTTACTTGAAAATCAGGGTATACAAGCTACAACTTAATATTTTCGTGTCATTTGTCCATAAAAATAAGCATAAATTCCAAAAAAAAAGTGACATGTTTTAGTTTTGCTACTGATACAAGCAATGTACTTTATATTTACCCATATAAGTGATCTACTTCATTTATAATCATAATAGCAATGTACTTATATTTGTTACCAATGATATCAATATATAATCTAAAACTTATATAATGTATTTTATATATCAACCATAATAGTAATCTATTAAATTTTCTTACTTGTAATAACAATATATTAAATTTCTTTACCGATACAACAATATAATATAAAACTTGTAAGCATTAGAGACATTTTAGGTTACTTATTGTTACTATCTGTAAACTAAAAGTGCATTGCAATTTATTTTTTTTAAACGATATATCATCCCAAAGTTGAAGTATATAGTATTCGAATCCGAAAAATTCCGCTTGAAATGTTAATCCCAAGTGATCATCATTAACAACCTTCATGATTGTTAAAATAAAGTAATGTATTATGCCTTCCTTGGTAGCATAAAGCATGTTGCTACCTTTTGTAATTTATACTAAAAGTAAAGAATCTTTAAAACCAAATCAATATTATTTTGGGCATATTTCATAGAAATACACCATTTGGATTGTGGTGACTTAGTAACACATGTGAAAGATGTGGTGAGTAACTCATTGACCCGTATTCAAATCCTAACAGCATGCAACCCAAGTAACCATAAAGGTTCGTCTACATCGACTCCAGGACATGAAACATAACATCATGTTCACAACATGGATTAATCGATGCACGAAAGCTGTCTGAAAACCCTCGTTATTAAAGTTTCCAAAACAAAACATAGAAGTATAAATCAAATATTTTTATGCCAATCTTCAAATCGAAGTCTAGAGGCAGAAATTCGTTGGTCACATCAAGTAAATAAATGTGTGTAGTCATACCACCATCCAAACAAAGTCATAACTTCACTAAAAAAAACCAATCTTTCATGTAAATAATAACACCCTAAATCAAAGAAACAACATAGTTCAAGTAACTTATTAATGGGAACCCTAGATGAGTATCCCTCAAATGTTTCACACTAGTAAAACCACAAGAATCCAGCTGCAATTCTTAGCAGAAACAACAAAAACAAAATCTAAAAACAAAGACAAAGACGGGAGACAAAGATCTAACTACAAGTTTGCAGTTTTTTTTTTCTTTTTTTTGTAAAAGAAAACCTAAAACCTTACAAATGAAACTCATATCCTCGATCCCTTTTTATGCATCGCCCGTCTCACCAGAGATGCAAGATGATACACATTTTGACTATACGCCGCAAACTGATTTTACATCTCACTCAAAAAAAAAAGACCAAAAATGTAACTCAAATTCAATCCATAAAAGAAAAAAAGAACACGAAAATAACTCGCTTGCTTATACGCCTTCTATCTCTAAAAGAGCACTCTACTTATCTCTTCAGAAGATACCCAACTTTTTTTTTTAATTTTTTTTTTAACTTAAAAACGTGTGCTAATATGGGGATACACCAAACTTCCATCTACTATAGCATATTTTTGAACTCCAAACTAGCCAGCAATTCCTGTACCAAAAAAAAATGGTGAAATTAGTTATCATTAAAAGATTTGTTAAATCGATTGTAAAGTTTTTAGCTTGAATGATATTTTAACCAACCAATACCCTTGGCAAATATGGGTTTGAATCTTTTTCCTCTTTTATGACAAAAATTCTTATTTCTTGATCAAAATCTTGAATTTACTCTCTTTTGAATAAATATCACAAAGCAAGGTTATATCATAACTTGATGTAAAAAGATTCAATCTTTAAAGTTGTTGATCTTCTATAGCTAGCATTTTATAGGATCCCATAGTTATTTTCAAAGTATTTTTTAGTTCTATATCAAATATCCATCAAGATTCAAGATTCATGAGTAATTTAAACAAAGAATAAGATAGTGAATTCTTGATACCTCTATTTGGGTGTCGTTTGGCAACACTATAACCAACATAACCAGGAGAAGTTTTAGCCTCAGGGCCATCACCACCAATTCCATACCCACCAAACGAACCCGACCCCTCTTGCTCACTATTCCCTGACCGCCAAGTCGGGTCACCACCATACACCGAGCCGCCACTCCCACCACCACCACCACCACCATAAAACTCCGAGAAAGGCCCTTCAAAACCACCATTCGCCACCCCACTACTAGCAACATTTCTACCATAACCACCACCACCACCGCCTAAACCAAAACCACCATCACCACCACCTCCACCATACCCAAGATTCCCACTAGAAGAATTCCCACCACCACCACCACCTCCACCACCAACAACCGGAGATGAACCCCAATTAAGACCAGAATTCCCGAAAATACCCCCGCCAATACCCCCACTCCCCGACCCAACATAACCACTTGAACCACTAGAATTTGACCCGTAATTAAACCCTCCATTACCCCATAAATTCCTTGGAGTCGAACTGAAAAAAGAAGTATTCCCTCCATTCCCACCATTTCCACCATTCAAACCATTCACACCATCAAAACTAATGGGACCCACAAACCGATTTGAACCCCCTACAAAATAAGGACTCATTCCTCTTCCATACCCTAAACTCCTATTGTAATTAGGGCTACTCATACTCATACTTGGTTCAAAATTTAACCCCATTCCAAAATTTGCAAACCCACTTCTAGGAATTTGACTGAATCTACCATCATAGGGTCCATGGGTATACCCATTAAAAAGGTTACCGGTTCGACCCAATCCATACGGGTATCCACCAAGCATGGTGCGATTAGGGCTAGGTGAAAGTTCTTTGGGGACAGCTCGTTTGACTTCAACCATTTTGCCATTGAGTTCATGGAAAGTTTTTAGGAGTACTTTGTCTACAGCTTCTTCTGAATCATAAGTTATGAATCCAAATCCTCTTGGTCTTTGTGTGTTATGATCGTACATCACCACAACGTCTGTAATTGTCCCGAATTGCTCAAAGTATCTCTTGAAGTCGGTTTCGGTGACTGTTGAAGCTAACCCTCCTACGAATATCTTTCTAGTTCGATTTGGATTAGGTGAACCTTGAATGCTACCGCTGTTTCTACTCATTGTGGTTTGATCGTCTCTTGGAACGGCTTTTTTTGCTTCGACCTGGTAGAAATTTGAAGCTTTGTGTTCAGATTGTTGGAGAGATTAAGTAAGAAATGGGATTGGGGAAATTATTACCATTCTGCCATCGATGTTGTGTTTCTCTTTGATAACTCGTTCAGCGACTGCGGGATCGGAGAAGACGACGAAACCAAAACCACGGGCACGTCCGGTGGTGTGGTCTTTCATGATTACGGCTTCCAAGACCTCACCGAAGCTACTGAAATATTCCTGGAGGCGTTCTTCGTTTGTATCCCATGATATCCCGCCGATGAATAGCTTGCCGAGATCCGATTGCATTTTCTATACAACAAAATTAATCGATCAGCAACGTGAATTTCTTCGATAAAGCTTTTAATCGGAAAAGGGTTTGAACAATTTTCAACATAGCGTAGATATTGGTGCGAAATTGGTTCCGGAATGATCGAGAATTCTCATTGCAATTAAGAATTCGATTCACCTAAAAATTTCAAGTTTATGAAGCGAAAATGTAGATCAAACAAACATAGATTAAAAGCAATATACCTTAATTTTAAGTTACACAGAGATTAATACGCCTAATATAAAATGGGTATTATCGGATTCAATCAGGAAAACATCGGATCCCTCGATGGCGACCAATCTAACACCAATTCAGGTCCTCCTGAAAAGGGGTTGCACAGATGAAGGAAATCAATCAATCTAGAAACACACTTTTAGCAAAAAAAAATATATATATTAAAAAAAATCAAATCGAATAAGAAAAACAAAGCCGATTAAAGAAATACCCAGATGACAAATCTCGAAACGATTAACAATTAAGATCTGAGAGGAGGAGCAATTAGAACCGAGGGCACGTTCATCCTCCTCGATACTGCCCCTCCGTTTTTGTAGGCTGTTCAGATTTCAATTTCGATTTCAGAATAATATGTCCTTTAGAGAAAGAAATCTTGATGTGAGCTTCTCTCTTCTTCTTGTATTGTATGTATAAAATGGAAGATGTAGAAAAAAAGATCAAATTTCTATAATTAATTGGAATGATGAATATATGCGGTAGTGTGTGTGAGAGAGAAAAGAGGGGAAGAGAGAGAAAAGAAAAGGAAAAAGAGAAATAATTTTGGTTGTTTGATCTGATAAATGGAAGGAGTGCATCTCCTCCAATTCGATCCTTATATACTTATTGGGAAAATCCTTTGGTACTACAATCCCATGTATCAGTCTTATGTACATGCATATGGCATAAGCACAGCGTATGGTCATGATGATGGTCATGTAGCAATGTTTGCGACATTTCAGCTGGTAGAGATGATTTGATGGACGGTTGAGATCACTTTGTTCGTGGGATTTTACTTTTGTGTTGTGTCTACAGTTTGACTTAAATTTCATTTATATTTATTAAAGTGTATTTTGTATATTTGATTTGATACCCAAGCATTATATAAAAATAGTCCATAATCAAGAAGAATGACATCTATTTTAAATTAGATTTGATAATATTATAAAAAAATTTGTACATTGTCAAAATAACCAAAATCAGGAGTAATCAAAGTTCTAAAACATATAATCTTATATCTTATACTATATTATAAAACATATTAATCATATCTTAAATTTTAAGAGGTATAAATTATACTTTTTTTTGTTTAATACCATATTTTAGAGCCCAGAGCCAAGCTGTTGTCGGTTATTGAGTGTTTTTTAATTATAAATATTTTTTATTCATTCATAAACCAAATTAAAGATTTTAGAAAAACATTACATGTTGTGAAATTAACTTTAGACCCGGGTGAGTTATTTTTTGTAAATTTAGTAAGATTTATTAAACAATTGTTTAGTTTTTGCAAGTGTATTGTTAGTTTTATTTTTAATTTAGTTTTTATAAGTATGAAAATGTAGTGTAAAACCACTGGAAAGCTTGGAGAAATAAAGGGGTTGTCACCTATTGCATGTCAAGGATCAAGGCCATTGCAATAAATCTTAAATATTTACATTTTACTAACGAGTAAAAAAGCTTGGGAGTAAGGTGTTTATTTGTTTGTATTACAGGAAGTTGTTGGGTATTTTTTACTTAGTGGTAGTTTAAGCCTTGAATGATTAAAACATATTAAATCCAAGAAGTTTCATGGATGTATGTTGGTTATGCGTCATTCCTACATCAAAGATGGTTCACATGCTTTTTATTTTTGTACATCAAATGAATATTTCAAAGAGTTTGTTTAAACATTAGTAAGAAAATCTATGTTTTACTTGAAATGGGCAAGCAACGGATTATAGTTGTTGCATTTTTCGATTATTGTAGAAAACTTAGATCGTGTTGTTTTGACTTTGAATCTTTGATCTTTGAAAGCATAAGTTATTGTGATAGACGACAAGCTCTGAGGACTGAAATGATATTTCTAGACATATATCATATGTGAATTTACTATTTGTTTTAGTGATTTTGTATGAAGAATGAGGTTTAAAACATAATAAAATATTTAAATAGACTCATAACATGCAATATGAATAACTTAAATGTTTGTGATTTATCATATAATGACCGTGGCATCAACATTAACTTTAATTTTTGTAATTTAACATTTAATGACCATGACATCAAACATAAATTTTTTGTTTTCTTTTTATAACAAAAGTATATTGTTTTTTGTTGCTTTTATAAGACCATGGCATGTGACCTAATAGCAAGTAAAAGCAATTTTTTTTAGTTTGCAACAAAGAACATCGTTATATCTTGAAGTTCATGTTATTTTTATCCAAAAAAAACTTGTTTATCTTTCTTAAAAAACAATAGTATCTTACTTCTATTTCTTGCAACTAATACAGATAGTGCACTTTATTTTATTCTCATAATAGCAACTTGCTTATATTTCATTTGAACTTTTTTTTAAAAATAAAACATTTATCTTAAAAACAATTGCAAATTGCCCAAAAAAAAGTAGTTATTTATGAAACTTGAGGGTTTTCTTGACAAATTGCAACAATATTGCAGGCTACTGCAGTGCAGATGTGTACTATGTGAAAAACAAACCAAGTAAACTGGTATTATGTGTTTTAAGATAAACAACAATAAATTCATTATTTGTTTTTTCTGTTTTCTAAAGAGCGATATAACATTGTCTCTAATTTATCTTCACTAAAACATAGAAAATATTTTCTATGTGACATTTGTTATGACCATGTTCCTTTTTCTTCTAAGGATATTTTTTTTCTTTTGTTAACATAGTGTATCTATATATATAATAGTTTTAGGCCATTTTATATGTTTTGGCTAGACACATACATTGATGTTAAAGAAGATGAAGAAGTTTGTATTTTATTTGTTTATTATAACAACATATTATTACCTATTCTATGATTAATATTATGATTTTAAGAATTTTATATAGGACACTTACAGACATTATTCGTTCATCGGACACGTATAAACCGTTTGGAGGCAAGATCATTGTATTTGGAGGTGACTTTAGACAAATTCTTCCAGTAATACAAAGAGACAATCTTTCAGAAATAAAACAAAAAAAATATTGTCTATAAAAAAGTCCTTCAATGATTATAGATATTCAGGCATTTCATTGTTTTTTTCCAGACATTTCAATATTACCAATAATGTCTATTTTGTTTGTTACTTTATTTTATTTATTTTTTGTGCCAACTTTTTATACCTTTATATGTTCTTCCGCATTCCTTTCCGTTTTCAACGGACCGTAGCTTTTTTTTATTTGCTATGACCATTAACAAAAGTCAAAGACAATCATTATCAAATGTTGGACAGTACTTGCGTAAACACGTCTTCACGAGGAAGGTCGTCCAACTAATAAAACAAAAAAGATTGTTTACAAATAGGTCTTTCAACGATTATAGATATTCAGACATTTTATTTTATTTTTTAGACTTTTCAATATAACCAATAACGCGAAGTCTGTTTCTGTTACTTTTATCTTTCTTTTTTTTAATTATTGTGTCGGTTTTTTTATGACTTTTTATGTATTTTTTTATACGTTCCCTCGCGTTTTACGCGGATCATAATCTAATGTATTTTGTATATTTGATTTGATACCGAAACATTATATAAAGATAGGATTGTAGAATAATCAAGAAAATGACCATTGTTTTAAATTAGATTTATTAATATTATAAAAATTTTGTACATTGTCAAAATAACCAAAATCAGGAGTAATCAAAGCTCTAAAACATATAACTTTACACTATATTATAAAGCATATTAGCCATATCTTGAATTTTAAGAGGTATAAATTATAAATTTTTTTGTACAAATCAATTATGTATAAATAATAATTAATACTTGCTAAAAGTTTGAAGACTTGAATTATGGAAGATTATTAAGAAATTCAAGTTGGAGCAAAATGAAAATTTAAATTATTAAATTCATGTATATAAATTAATTTATATTTTTTAAACTAGACACTGATATTAATTAATTTACGTTAATAGTATAAACATACAATATAAATATAAGGTCTAAACATAAATATATTATTTAAAATGGTAATTTTTTTATTACATAATAACTAATAATAAAATTTAATAACTATTTTCCCGTAAGAAACTATTCGTCAAAAGAACTATTTATCGTCGTCTCTTTGCGCGGGAACACGTCTAGTGTTTCAAAATAGTTTTTTACATAGTTTGAAACTTTAAAAGTTTGGTACATTTATTGCAATCTTGAAATTAGGCTGTATTTTTGTTTGAAATTAGACTATATTTTTGTTTGAAAAAAGTTGTTTCAATAAACTTTTGAAAGTTTCAAAACAAATTTAAAATATTTTTTTTATTTACAATAAGTTTGTGTTTGCTCTAATTGAAAAAGTTTAGAATTTATTAGTTCCGGATGGAAATCAGATTATCAAAAATGGGTTAAGATGTTGGAATCAATCAAGTGGATAATATGTTCACTCTAGAGATCATGCACGACACACAACCTTATATGGTGCAATTCGATTGTTATATACAAAATATAACATCCATATAGACAACTTAAAATACTATTTAACAAGGATTTAAATCATCTGAGAAAACACCTTGCAGATGAGGTCTCAAACATTTAACTATTTATTAGTTTAAAATGTTAAAATGTGAAAGTATACAAGGGTGTAACAAAGTAATCAAGAGACAAAGATAAAGTAAAATTATCCAGTGCATCGAATAAAATGTCTTCTAAAAGTTAATATGTTTCTTCGGTTTTTAAATCACCAACTAAAGCTCCTAATATGAAGTATGAACACATGTCAACTAATGGTTAGGCTTGTAAAGCATACCAAGCATCAAGTTAGACATTTATAAATTATACTAGGCGAATTCCCGCGCGTTGCGCAGAAACACCTATATAGTTGAAGTCTTTACAAATGTATATTTTTTCTAAATATAGCAACAACGTTGTTGTTAAATTTGATATAATAATTCGTATACTAAATTGATATAATATATTGATTATTTTGAATTATATGATAATATATACATCTATTATAACTGCATAATCTCAATCGTTTGGATGACTTCTACCCTCGAGTTACACATAAATAAAATTAGATATATAATATATGGTTTAATGTTATTTATAGTTGTTTTTATTGTTAATTAGTATTTTAAAATTTATTTGCTTAATGTTTTAATTTATATCATTATAATTGTTTAAAACATCAAATATTGTTTTTTGATTTTAAATGTAACAATATAATAATTTATGTAGAGTTATTTTTAACTATTGTTATTGTAAGTTATTTTAAGGTACTTATTTGACAACTTTTACCGATTATAAAAATATCTTTAGGAAATATTTTAGTTAAATTGAGATTACAATTTTGTTTTTGCATTTATCACTACAATTTATCACTTTTAACTATTTACAAAATATTTTTTGGTTTTTTAAGTGGAACTAAAATTTATATTTAAGTTGACATTATAATGTTATATTTAAATTAACAATTTAAGGATTTTGTCCAAACTGTTCAAAAGTTGTAGCTTTAAACTGATAATGGTTTATATACAACAACATATTAAATCTAATAAATTAAATATAATATGTTAAAAGTTAAAGACATAACTTTATAAGTAGAAGTAAATATATTATTTTAAAACTGAAATTTAGTATATTTATGATTACACTTTAGGTTTGATATTTGTTTAACCTTATTAACCAACTTATAATCATTATTAGAAAGACACTACAATTAATCACTTTTAGCTATTTACAATATATTCTTTGAGTTGTTTAAATTAAACTAAAATTTATATTTAAGTTGACCGTGTAATGT